CACATCCTCTTGCCCATCAACTATCATTCTCAACTCTGCGCCTGTACTCCACTCCGCGTCGTACTAACTGCATCCTGCTGTATCATCCCTTCCCCCTCCCCGCCCTCTCCCCCACGTTTCTCTTTGCTGCTCCCATCCGACGCGCACCTCACGCTTCCTTCATCGTAGAATCTCTTTCTCTCCCCGTCTTTCGATCTACCGCGCACGCTCTCTCTTTGTCGCTGTCTAGCTTAACAATGCCTCTCCTCTAGCAGGACGAGAACGGTGAGTGCTCAGTGAGTCATGGTGTACAACAACTTTAACCCCATGGCGATGATAGGGACTCTCGCACCGTCGATGTCTAACGCGGGCTTGCATTTGCCTCTCTCGTTCAACGTTCATCTCCAACCGTTAGCGTTCATGTCGTACCCTCACAATCAGCCTACATACTCAGCCTCCCGATTTGCCCACCTCCCACGAGTAGGATTGGCGCCGTACCAAGAACGCGCTCAGCATGACGTCCGCGCGCTTCGCAACCCCGGGTTCTTTCCTCCCTAGAGTATGTAGGACTACTCCACCTACTTGAAGTTGACTGACGAACGAAGAGGACAGGTCTACAAAGTTGACCGCACCGTGCGCGTCTGGATGCGGGATCTTGGAGTCGGCTACGAGCAAGGCCGGTGCTTACTCGTTCTTAGCGTGGGGCCAAGAATGGGTGGCCCTCNAGCAAGGCCGGTGCTTACTCGTTCTTAGCGTGGGGCCAAGAATGGGTGGCCCTCAGCGTCGCAGTTCGCGCAGAAGTACGCGCATTGCGTCTTGTAGCGACGAAGGGACGATAATATACTGGGAAGCTGCTACAGGCACACTCGTGGCCGAACCTGTAGTCGCGCATGGAGGACTGACAGTCTAATCAGGTGCTCCTCTCGCCGAATGGATGCTTCATCGTGTCCGCCGGCAGTGACAGCACTTTGTCGCCTTGGCACGGCTGCTTGCGGTCATTCCTGGTATGAACTCTGCACTGCATTACTCTTTAACCAAGTGCTTATCGGTCTCTGGCAGTCACGATGGGACGATACCGGTCTGGGATGCCGCGTGGCGCAAACGCATACACGAGTCTATTCGTACGCATACGACTTTTCCTGCCTGCTATACTCTGCCAGTGGCTGACTCCTAGTTCTGGGAAGCTACGACTGTACCGTCCCCTTCATCGCAGCTCGAACGGGCCAGCTTGTGCGCGACAATCTCCTCTATGCCGGTGTCTCCCGCCGAACTGCAGATGATCGTGGGTGAACACCACGACAGGCCGCTTCTCTGGGACACCATGTATCAAGCTTCGTCGGTTCGTGGGCTTTCATTGACTGTACATCCTGCACTCTGAAAGCTGACGCTCAACGACGTGTAGGCCTTTGCGTTTGGTTGACGACTCTGCGCACCGTGAGGCGTGAACAGCGAAACCTTTCCTTCTGACTCTCTCCCCGAGCCTCTCGTTGTCGCCGAAGCAATCAAAAGGGAGGCTATGTGTGAACATGAAGCAAGTATCTTCTTTCCTGCTTCCTTCCAGCTCTGCGACTCATCATCGTCCTTCTGCTATGTCGCTCTTTCCCACCTCAGATCAGATCGCCCACCGTGGATCACGCTCGACCCGACCGCTGAGCGTTCTGCCGCAGTTACCAGTGCGCACCAGGCAGTCATCAATGGGGTTGCTTGGTGTCCGAACGGTGAATGCGTTCCGACGGCCCCGCAAGATGGAAACGCTGCACATCTGGGATGTTATACCTGCGGAGCTTTTGAGGTTCTGCGTAGAGGGTAACCTTTGCATGAACATGTCATCTATGCCAGATTTTGACTACCGCTCTCAGGAACACGAAGACTGTCACCAGCGTCGCTAGTCTCCTGATGGATGGGCTCGTCGCCTCTGAAACGATACGTTTGGCTGGATCTTCGATGAGGGCTGTCGGCTCATGCTCGCTGTTGATCCATCGCCTCCTCGTCTTGTATCCGCATCGTGCGATGCCAGTAGCGGATTATGTGCATCACAAGTGTATCATAATCGTCAGAGTCGCTCATGGCGGACCAGCTATTTCATCCTTCGGTCAGACTGGTGCAAGCTTTTAAATACGGGTTCTTCCCTTGGCGAGATGCAGAAGGGACCGTAGAGGAACTGAAGACGCGACAGGGGAGATATGTGGGATCGCGTCGTAGCTGGAGTATCATCCCATGCGCCACGAGTTCGACTACAGGCCATGCACACAACATGTCTTTTATCGGCTTGAACATAATAAGCTACCATGTCCTGATGCCTTGCGCGTAGATAGCTGCAGACGCTTGAAGGCGACTAGGGACCGTGAAAACACTTGAGATCTACGTACTAATCTGTCCTAGCCCCACTGCTTAATCTCGTACTTATAAGTGTCTCGACGCAGCCCGTTGCGTCCACCGACCCGTACGTCAACGATATGCTCGATCGCGGTTCCGACTGCAATCAACGCGCCCCTCAGGATGTGGTCCCTGTGATACATGCGGGTAAGCTCGTGCTTCTGGCGGGTGCATACGGTGACTGACCAAGTGTATGCCAGGCATGCGATTCTTCCATGCGGATTACAACGAGTACTGTGACTGGCTACCACGCCATTGCAGTCAAGTGGAAGGTTCTGATAGGACGACCTCACACCTGCACGGAGAGGCCGTGCATCCGAATGGACCCCGTCCAGTAGCACGCACTGCGGGTACATAAAAAGGCTTCGACGTGATACAACGTGCACGGGTGAGAGTCCCCGAGAACGATGTATACGCGCATGGTGCGCTGAACAAGCCGCTCGCTTGATGGAGAGCATATACCAATACGAGCATCCTCAAGTATCAACGGAACACCTGTGTCGTAACCTTACGCGCGTTGACGAAGTATGTCTCTGATTGCATTGGAAGTCGCTATAAGCGGGTAAATGGTAGCACATAACTACTCGACGGGTGGCTTACCTTTGTTATTGAGCCAGAGCCAAGCTAGTAGATTTCGTTGCCGGTGGATGACATCGTTGTATAGTAGAGTAGAACCGCGAGTTCATGGCTAAAATAAGGTGCAAATGCACCGCTAAGCTGGAGGGTGTCCACGATGGCTTCAAACCTGACATTAAACCGACGAAATGCTGGGCGGGAAATGAGTAGCGTAGTACATGCCTTCACATCGGTTAAAGCTCCGGATAACGCACCACCGGGGACCTATGGCTTCTTGACCTGGAGTAACGTGAATCCACGTTGTCACAAAATCAAAACCGGGCTGACGGGGACCCGGCGATTCGGGGGAAACGCGCCAGACGGCCCAAGGGGTGGGCCGAGCGGCTTAAATGAACGACACGAAGGCGAGCGACGCAACGGTCGTAGTTTTGTCCAAGACCATCACGTTCTCGTCGTTCTCTACTATGGACATCGATACCCAGCATACCGGAACTCATGCCGTCGCAGCAGGGAATGAGGATAGCTGGGAATATGTTGCTTCCGCAGGGCATTTGCCCAACGAGTTGCCTCGTCCACCAAGATTCGACATCCACGGCTGGTTCACGGACATATTTTCGCCACCGCCGAGGCGCCCCGCGCACTCCATCCTGATGGATTCCGAACTGTGGACGGAGGAGATGGATGCGGAGGTTGACGAGCTGATGAATTCCGCGGCCGCGATGGCGCTGGTGCAGAAGACGACTCTCATCGCGCGTGAAGAGATGTTGGAGTACGTTGCCGTCAAATTTCTCAAAGCATCAGGCCAAGAGGTTCGGGAGGCGATGGAGAAGAGAAGGGAGTCGCTTTACCAGACGGACCTGGCGAGGTGGAAGAGCGAGTTGCTTGAGGCCCACCCTAGAGCCGAAGATGCCGAAGAGTGCGTATGCTATAGGCACTCACCTTGCATGTCTCACGAGTCACTTAGGTTTGCGGCCGACCTGATGCCGACTTTGACAATGATAGCCGATTTAATCGCGCAAAAATGCTCGGGAGTATGCGTTTTCTATTACACGGGCCCAGATGAGGTATACTGGTACGTGCTACATCAGTGACGTGTATAATATTGAAGCTGATGGACTTGTACAGTGCCGAGGGTGTTTGTGACCTGCCCGGGAGGGTGGTCAAAAGTTTCTGCCATATGAATAGGGCCTCGCATCTTGGCCTTGCGTCGCAGATCAAGACATATTCGGGATTGATAAACGGTGAGCTGGGGTCCGGGTTCGCGCGTCTATTCGGTACTTACGGGTCCTAAGGTTGTAAGTGGGGCAACTCCAAGGACGGTCACCCGGCGGACGAATCGGCATCCGACCACGAGGCGATGATTATAGACGAGACAGAGGTGCTGAACGTTGGCGAGGAAGGGTTTGAGGGTGGGGGGATGCCGAGGGAGAAATGGCGTATTGCCAGAATCGGCGGCGCGATGACGGAGATCGAGGGATCGGCTACCGCATACGCTGTTGTTGCCCGGGTGGGTACACACGACAGAGGCGGAAGGACACGCACTGATACCGCATTGTGATAGCGCTACGACGAGATTTGCCAGACGTCATGTGCCGTCCTAGAGAAACGTAAGGAATGGTTTGCATTGTTAAAGATGACGCCGTACCTCGTTGCTGTGCCGAAGAGACTGCATGGTGGAGTGGACGTCGATCTGGCATGTCGGGTTGCCCAGGCCTATCTGAACTTCGAGATGAGTAATGCGGTGAGTTGTCATATATTTGTCCGGGACTTCATGAACTTACTTTCTTTAGGAGGAAGGCGCCATCACGATGAAAACAGTTGGCGACGTCGGGCAGCGGCCTGAGTACACTTCGAACCTCATAGGCAAAAGGTCGCGTGTGATGTGGAGAAAGCGAGCGGAGCTGGGCGAGGACCGCAACAGAAAGCTAGATCACGACGTGGCCGAGTATTTGCCACGTCAATGGGCCGCGCAGCAACCCAGCGAACGTCGTAGAGATGGGGAGATGCTGACTATAGGCGCGAAAGACACAGTGGACTGGGACGCGCATCTTCCGGCCGGAGCTGACGGCGTCCGTGTCCTGGTGGTGACGCTTCTGACGTGGGGGTGGGATATCAGACAGAATGAGCGGCAGAGTGAGGTGGTGGTCTGGGAGAGCTTGGCGCGAGATTACGCTGAGGTTTTGGACGTATTGACGAAGCAGGCGGGGAACTTCGAAGCGCCGCCGAAGTTGGACAGCGGCCGCGCGGCAGGCAAACGGTAAGTGATGCGTGTACTGTAGCAACCGCGCGTGCTGATGAATCTTGAAGAACACCTAGGCCAACTGAGAAGATGAAGTCTTATGCGGAGACCTTGAAGCCTAGAGATAAAGATGGTTACGAGTAGAATAAGACGACGTATTGATTACATATGCGACGCAGGCCGCACGAATACTTATGAGTACACTGGTTCACAACGGCAGGCGGATGGCGTCGGGGACTGCAAGGGGCCGGTAACACGTTCCTGGATGCAGTTCGCACGTTCGTCATGCAACGTTCAACGTGATCAAGTCAGTGCTCAGCGCTCGCGCTCATTCTCAACCTCGACTGTCATCTTGGAGCTGGATTCTATACATCGCTACTCTATACGCATCGGACACAGTCGTGCAAGACCAGCAATACTTGACATCGGGACGTGTGCAGCCGCCAATCGTTCATTTGTAAGAGCACATGGACAACCACGCGCCTCTCTTCTACAGGGACTTCTACTGGTGGTAGCGTGCTGCGTACGGTGAGTGTTGACTTTACTCGGACCGTTGTGCCGAAGAGAATGTTTGCCTACCCTTATCCATGATGGACTGAGGCTCGCTTCCTCGCTTAGTGGTGGTCGTGTGATCGCGAGTCCAGCTTGTGTGCTGCGTCTTGCTGTCGACCATCACTAACTGCCGCCTCATGATCCCGCACTTCGCGTTCTTGTGCACCCAGCGCTAATATCATATTTCTCAGGGACGTCTCGCGTCAATTCAACATCGCCATATCCGCCTACTTGTGCACAGCACAAAGTGTGCAAGGGCACGATGGCATGAGCCCGGACCCGAGGATGACCTCCCTCATGACGGCAAAGTATACAGTTGCATCTGCGTCGAGCCGGTCTGGGCGCCACCGGCAGGAGTGCCATCTGACGCCGTCCAGTGCGACTACTGCGGTGCGCGCTTCCACGGGAAATGTGCGCGCCCTGGAGGCTCGAGCCCGTTCTGCGACTAGCGCCTTTGGGACCACTCTCGGTTTCAGGATAGGCCTTGACACTTCTGCTACATGCCGATGGCACTTCAGCAGACGCCTACGATCTCGAGCTTATGATGCATCGACTCGACTGGATTTCCGCACATAACGGCCAGTTCCTGGCATTCAAATCGCATCCTATGAACCAACATCATGATTATCTCGGATACGTACGACCCGGACTGCCCCTCCTTCTCTCACGCCAGCCGCAGAAGACACGAGTGAAGAAGCGCCGTCGGCCCACGTTCACGTTTGGCCAGGATGAGGATCAAGACTGGGCGGACAGTACGCGTTGTATCTGCCGTGGTCTGACGAGCTACCTCCCACGCTTATCTTGAAGGCTTTCACACGGCGGAAGTCGGAGGACGTCGAGGCTTGGGGTAGGGGGCTTTATGACGAGGGCAAAGCCAGCCCTCACCACGCACCTGTCATTAGTATGTGTCGCGCTATCATCTATAGTGCTTTCTGTCTGACGATTTTTAGAGCAGTCTCTTGCCGCTACTGAGTTCGCGCTTTTGTAGCAAGAAGGTGTGGAGCAAGGTCTCTCGTGAAGCGCGATAACCGTCGAGTCTACGTGCGTCTTTGCACGGCTACTACCTCCGCGTCACCGAAGAGGATATCTATGTTTGCATTGGCGTGTGCAATGATGCGATCTGTAGTCTTTGAGGTGCCGTACGACAGGCGCGTGCGGACTACATCGGCAGCAAACGCTCAACTTCATGGGCCAAAAAGCGCAGGCGCGTCTACCCACGTGATCGCGTCCGGGGCTCGAGCGCGTAGCGAACGCTGGGCTATCTGGGTTTTTATTGTCGACGCTGCTAACTTACTATGTGGACCAGCCGGGTGCGTGCTGAGACGGGTGCGATAGGGTGTAGAAGGACTTGAGGTGGCGGGACTACGCGACACGAAAATATCGTACTGCAAATGTTGGGGTATAACGCAGAATAATAGGCGGCGTTCCGGTCTTTCCTAAACGGGTTAAACCCGCGCTCAGCGCTCAGCGCTCAACCCGCATCGAACTCATTCGAACGGACATACTGCTCGTAAGCGTTCCGTCCCCGCTGAGGAGTTAACACCGTTGAGTAGCCCTACTTTTTGCCAGTCTATGGATACCACATATGAGATGGTACGGGCACGAGACGGGACTGCAAACCTAGTGCGCGCGCGTCCTCGGGCTCAACAAGGTTTCTCGGCTATTCCGAATGGGGAAAGGACTCGGGCGTGCGGGCTCTACGCCGTGTTCTGCCCTGTCCCCCGCTATCCCGAGATCCCGAGTGAGCGGCATGCTGCTGTATGTACTACTTACTGGCTATTAGAAAAGTGACATCTAAAAGGAATTGCGTAGGTAAGTGGTAAGTGGGGAGAAGTGGAACGAGGCGAGTTCACCGCGCTGCTTCGTTGCTGCTTGCGCGCTTGCACTGCCTCATCGGAGAGAACGTCGCCGGAGAGAAGCACCGACAGCATATACGTCAATAAGCCCCGATAAGATTAAACGACGTAAGGGGGCAGCAGCCTTCTAGACCTCGTGCATGCAACGCGCTTTGAGCGTGGTGCCAATGGTCAACCCTCGTTAGCCTTCGTCACGACCGAATGCCATGCCCTCGGTACCTCTGGTACAGATCCAGAGAACGCGTTAGGAGCCCGATCAGAGATAGCCGGGGCCCGCAGCTCCTAGGATGCCGGTCAAAGAACGCCGGAGCAAGCGCCGTCACACAACGCCTTCGATCAGAACTTCGATCGTCCGATCGATGTCCACGGCGCGTGTCCATTCCCCACCCTCTTCCTCCTTCCTCTCAACCACCACCATCTTTGATCACCAACCTGTACCCCGCCCCGCGTCCCGACGCCAAGCTTCAGGGCGTATCAGGTAGAATCAACGGCTGTCACTCGGTGCGTCGCCGTCATACTCCCGTTACTTTCGCTCACGCCTATGCAGTCATGCTATCCAGAAACGGCGCCCCCAAATCGCTTCAAGGCAGAGACACCAGCCGCTTTGCGGTCTCTCGTATGTTATTTACTTGCTTGAGATCGCGATTGCGCTCAGTTCGGCAAGGCCGCACCCGGGGATTCGCGATCAGAGAATCCGTGAATGCCGCACGGCGCTCTCCTCCCCCGGTCCTCGTTGACACCGAGGCCCCTGGCCCTCAGGTCGATCCTGAGGCGTACCCGCTCGCCGCTATCGGCGGCATGGCCTATGGTCAAGAAGAGACTGGGGCGGACGCCGCCGCCGCGGAGGCTGGCGGCCAAGTCCAATCCGTATTCAAAAAGGCGGTCGATCTTCTGGGTTGGTTGGTGAAGGCTGTGGTCCCTGAGCAGTAGGAGCGTGATGGGTGGGTTAGGGGCGACTGAAATGTACTGTGCTGTGTCTTGTGCTGCTTGGATTTCTCAAGGATTCACCTCAAAAGATCTGATCACTTCTTGGCTCATGCAATCTCACTCACCTCCTTTAGTCACTGATCAGACCATCACCCTACTTCCCACCCTATCCTACTATACACCCATATCTTGGCTTCAGAAAAGTCCTCCTTTCACATCTCTCTTGTCACTCCTTCACAATACCCCTCATTTTGGAACATCCAATGCTTAGATCATAATGTAGTGCTGCCTACTGTGTTGCCCTGGTCACTACACATTCTTTGTACTAGATGTATTTCTTGGATAGACACCATGTACATACCCTCGTAGTTATCATTATAATATATTTATTTTGCTGCTGCTCGCAAGCTCGAGAACTCTCCGATCTTGACAGTCCGTGTGAATTAGGCATGCGAAAGCTTGGTGAAATCCAAGGATGTCCGATCTTGTCTGATCCTCTGTCCCATGACTGCACTACGTATGGTAAAGCGCATCTACCGCGGTGAGGTCTACAGTAGCAGCTCGCCACTTCGCTACTATTGTGTAGATACGTTCGTAGCTGGAGGCTCCCCTGATACCTGCACGTTGGGCACCTGTCTCGTGTGATGCACTCGCCGTACGGAAGGACGCGAGAGACTGGCTGGTGGACGGGGTGAGGATGCCGTATTTGAAAGATCGTATTCAACTCGTCGTGTTCGGTCATCTCCCCCGACAGAAACAGGTGCGCTAGCTAGTGGAACTACTGAGTGGCAAGGTATGGCGTCTATGCAAGATGTGAACTGACTGCGGGGCGCGCATGAGAAGACTGCCCCCGGCCCACGATCGCGCCCGCCGAATCTCACCAACATGCTACGATGTACCCATGATGGCATGAGCTCACAGTATGAGCGTAAAATGAAGACCTTGTTGTCTACGTCGCTCGGCCCCCATTGCGAAGCGCTCACAGAGACACTCTAGCCTCCATCTCGGCACCCTCGCTGAGATCCAGACGGTAAAGTGTGTGCGACACCCGCCGCAAGAGTTCTGGTGCGTGACGCAAACGAGCAGGCTGGCCAGGTCGCTGAGCACTGTGTGCGATGGTATCAAAAGAGACGATACAAGTCGAAGGGCGATATGAGCGAGATGGGGGGCAAGAGTCAAACGAGTTATACAACGAGCCCGACTCAGCTCATGGACAACACGCGACAAGGTCGACGTCGTGACGGTGAACTTCAATCCAAAAGATGGCATCCGTACAGAAGACGATAAGCGCTGTAACACGGTAATCTCCGTCTAGCACACTTCGACTCTTGACTCATCGTGGCACAGCATTGTGCGTCGCGGGCGCTCAAGCGCTCAAAGCGCGACAACCGTAGTGATGTGATTTCTACACATAGGTAGCGCCAAATCCCCTCACTCTTGACCATGACTCGCAGTTTATGGGCGCTGTCGCTCAAGAGAACGCGAATAGCATGAACAGAAAGAAGAAAAGCTCAGAACCGTTGTCAGACTGAAGCAGAAGCGATGATCATGACGACCTAAACGCCGGACGTGCGATTCCGAGAAGCGGGTAAAGCGATATTGATGAGTGTGCACGCAGAAGCGTCGTCAAACCAAGTAACGCGACGACAACAGTCGAGAGTTGCAAGTCATAGCAACTGCTCGGCGAGACGACACGAGTTCACAGAGGACGCGCAAATTCCAATGTCTGGCATCTGAACCGCATGTTGTTCTGGAAGTGTGATACGAAGCCTCGAGGAACCCTTCAGTCGTCTGAACGGCAAAGAGTGCCGCCGTTCCGGGTAAAGTCGACGGCGGTTGCCGGGCGCGTGCCGTCCGTCGCCGAGTCGCAAAACGAACCTTTGACTCTCATCTTGAACGACTGTGTCAAGGCGAAAACCATCTTCTCCTCTTATTTTCGCTCGCGGTCGAGGTTTTTCAAGGTAGCGTCAACACTGGCTACTACCTGCGCTGTATTTGACAATGCATAATAGCTCGAAAAGCTGGAATGATAATACCTCCTGGTCGGCCAACATTAGGAGCTCTGACTAATACGTGTCTGCTCCGGGATTCTCGTCGCCCGCATGCCTGGCGTCCCGCCCGTCCTATGGCCGAAACGCCTGGCGTGCTCAAGCTGGGTGACGGTATGAACTATAATACCATGCAAGTTAGTAAGTCCCGAAGTCCGGCCTTCCCACTCCAGCACTCATTTGCGCTCTATAGTCTGCACCGCGAGATGTCGATAAGGCCATTGACGCGTTTGCGTGGATTCGTTGAAGGGAGCAAACAGGGCGATGGCGCGAGAATCCTCGATATACGTTTCCTATCAAGGTGAATTGCTTATACATACATCTCTGAGTACATGTTTCTGATGTTGACTGTCGTGATACAAGGATAGCACGTCGTCTTGCTTGTGGCGCAGTCATGCCAGCACCCCCGCTGTGCACAGCGACTGTGGTGGACATCGAGAAGTACAACGTCGAGGTTAGCGCGTCGTCCACTCCAGATTGTACAACAATTGATGTACTTCTATTGCTCTCTAGGGTCGAAGAACTCGTTTGGCATGGGGCCGAGAGCTTGGAGGAGCGTTCCGTCTTGCTGCCGCTATCACCGGGTGCGTTTTATTGACTCCTCTCTCACGGCTAGTTTTGCTCATACGTCTTATCGTTGCTCTTGCAGTACCTGATTCATGGCTGCGGCAAAGATAGTCGTATAGGAGGTCAAGGTTCACGGCGTCCGAATGTTCCCCGCGAAGGTCCCGGTACCATCTCGATCGCCCAGGCCGAACCTATCTGGGACGACCTCAGCGGTTGTGTATACCGGTTACCGACCTTGCTGGGATCACCACCCGCACCCGTAAACAGTCAATAAGACGGCAAAGGCTTTCTGCGACACCGCCCATAACACCTCGGCGAGTCGAAGACTGCGAAGGGTATGCGACCGAGCGCGTCCTTAGACAGCAAGGTCGCGCCCCGCGCCCACCCCGAGCTCGAGACGCCTGAGACGCCCGATAACCTTGTGGTGGTTACTACACTTGACTCCAAGGATATCAAGGACTTAGAAGTAAGCCATCGTTCACGCTAGTGTTTGTCTTATCGGTTCGCCCATCTGAAAGCTTTTAACCCTTATTGCCAACTGACACTTGGGATAGAGCGTGAACTGTCTCGCAGTAACTACCGCCAAGCGCGACATCTTCCACCAGGAGAAAGCTTCTGCATGACTTGATGCCACTCAAGGTCCCTAGCGCTTAGACCTAGCACGGCGACATCTGGCCCGGCGATGATGGACCGTCGTTGGTCAAGTCCAAGATAGCGCGCGTGTCTGATTGCTGGACGCGGTCGCACTCACTCGCCAGGTTGCCTGTCAGCTTTGTACCGGCTGATGCTCTCTCAGAGACGTGCGTACTCTATCATTTGCAGTCCTTTGTCCATCGCTGACTGTCCTTCTAGGTCGAACGCACTGGTTTCACTAGCTGCTTTCCAATCAAGATTTCGGTCTGTGCTTGGTACGTGGTAGATCAGAATTATTCCCTGTCAGTACTGACGCCCTGCGTGCAGGGCAACCGTACTTGAGCCTCATGACACGATTATCTTTTGCAAGACCGAGGTCATAATACCTGGAGCGTCTGACAACTTCTTTGAGAAGGGCTCTTGACGATATCGCCATCGCGAAGCCCAGCAGTGCGCGGGACGGAGATTGCTACGGGCTGCAAGCCAGCAGATATCTCGCGCCCGACTACGTACTTGCTCTGGCGTACGTCGTTCCGATCGCGCACTTCTGATATCCTTGCTGACACCTCTACATAGTTCTCACGAAGCTAGTGGAAGCGCAGGGTCTCTTGAGCTGGCAGCCCTATTTGCGATATTCTGGCATTCACGTCAACATCTTTGTACGCGATTTTGCGGATCTCTGTATCTTATCACCGTTAACCTTTGTACAGCGACAGCGCTGGCCGCCCGAGGGCGCGCTGCTGACATCCTAACTCTGCTCTTCCGCTGCTTCAAGATACATCTCGAAGTCTCCGCCCGCCGCATCGCTGTCATGGAGAGTGCCAAATCAGAGCTTTGCACGTGCATGCGGTTCAATGCGATCCAGAGTGGAATGCACGTTCTTCAGTAGCGACGTCTTATCCTCCAACTCACTTTCTCCTAGGTATGCGTTGGCACGGAAGTTCGGAAAACAAGAACCATCAGCCCTTCTCGAGAGCAGTCGGGCACCCGTTAACATATGACCACGGTACGTCGTTTGATGCCCTCCACAATGCTGTAAGGCCTGACTATTTGCCGACCGTATATCTCGCCAGGGCGAGGACAATGTTGATAAGTTACCTCTGTGTAAGTCATGTGAAGATTTTAAGACTGTCCTCGCGAGCAATGTTGACCTCGTCAAACAGCTTCCGACCACTCGGTATGGCACGGTCTGGCGCGGGCTTCAATTGAGCGGTTGGCCGGATTTTAAAGTCCGGGATATTAAAAGGCCGGCACCATTTTAAAGTCGGCCGCCATTTAAAGCCGCGTGTCCCCGGCCATTCCGTGGACCGCCATATAATTCCTATTGTACAGGAGTCTCGTATGCCCTAGAATAGTACTAGGTATAGACGATGTGTATGTGGAGTCGCGGGCGTCAGTAGGGCGTCGTAGCTTGCCCTGGCTGTGTTTCGACGTTTCCGACATTTAAATGTGACCGCATCCGTGACAAGGCACAATAAAAAGGCCGTGACGCCCAGCTATGGATTGGACGTGGACCGGTGGAACAGGCATCAAGAGTTTCACGAACCTCCAGCAGAACGACGGCGCCAATCAGCAACTCTCAGCCATTTCTTCTATTCAGGTGAGAGCGTAGTTACTTATTTGCGTATAAATTTCTCACGGGGATGTTTCTCAAGACGACGTGGGACTGGTCAATCTCGAGTAGCAACATCGTGGCGGATGTTGCATACGATACGTTCACGAGCGCAACCTCCGGCGGCTCTGCGGCATACGAGATCATGGTGTGGCTGGCGAACTACAACGCGGGTCCCATCTCCTCGTCCTACGATTCCTCGGGACAGCCTGTTCCCGTGGCGTCGAGTATCACTATCGCTGGCCACACCTGGAACCTTTACGTGCGTTTTGCCCCGTGTTTCTTTCAGGCGTCTTGTACTGACTCTGCGAAAGTCGGGAAGCAACGGCGCTAACGCCGTTTTTTCCTTCCTTCCTACGTCGGGAGTAATCACCTCTTTCAGCGGCGATCTGATGGACTTCTTCTCGGTACGTCGATAGCTTCATTGGGGAACACTTCATGAATCGACATCACTCCAGTACCTCATCGACAACCAAGGCCTTTCCTCATCTCAATACCTCACCACCCTCCAAGCCGGTACGGAGGCTACGTCGGGTACCGCCACTCTCAAAACGTGCGCTGACTATTTCTTCAAATTACCCGCTGACACTAACCTTCTTTACAGCACGTCGTACAGCGCTACCATCGCCTAAAGCCTGCGCTATCCCGGAGGCTGATATGTCCATGTACCGCATTGCATCGTTCATCGCTTGTCGACTTCATTATCCTGTTATCGTGACGGTATATGCATGTGAATGAATCGGCACTTGCCGTGATACAATCAAACGCGAGATTGTGGCTCACGGCCGACGGTACTTATCTCTATCCCCGACCACCATCTTGGCAGACACGATAAGCGCTGAAAGATGTCTGAACCAACGGTCAAACCCCTCATCTTTGTCATGGGCCATCCGCTCCTTGACATGCAAGTGACCGGGTCAGAAGCCGAGGCCCTGCTCGACAAGTACGGACTGCAGCCCAACGACGGAATCCGAGCGGAGGATAAGCACAAGCAGATGTATGCGTTTGCAACGTCACTTTTCTAAGATAGGATACCGACTGTGCGTGCGCCTTGCAGATACGACGAGATTGCACGCGGCCATTCAGTCACCTATGTCGCTGGCGGAACCGCGAACGCTGCTCGAGCCGCTGCTGTACTGCTCTTTCATCTGATCGTGCGGCACACGATCGGCTCAATCATTGTCCGCAGTATATCCTTCCACCAAAAACGGTGGTGTATACTGGTTGCACGGGCGATGATGCGTTGAAGGAGCAGTTGTCGGCGGCAAACGCACGCGAGGGCGTTCTGGAGTACTACGACGTCCGAAAGGACATGGCCACTGGCGCTTGTGCTGTTATTATCACTGGGCATCACAGGCAAGTACTTCTACTTGGATATGCAGGGATATCCTACGAGTGACCACTGACTATTGTGATACAGATCCATGGTGACCTCCCTTCGCGCTGCAGAATGTTTTGACCAAGCATGGCTTGAGACACCGCACATCTCGGCGCTTATCGATAGCGCGAAGGTCTTCTACATGGAGAGCTACTGGCTCACTCACGATGTGAACAGCCTTATATATCTGGCTAACAAGTCAGCTCAAGAAGGCAAGGTACCACATTCCTGCTCCATTTGCGTCCTTGGCCGTAGTGCTGACACTTCGCCTCCCCACTAGACCTTCGTGCTGAACATCTCTGCGCCATTCGTTCCACAGTTCTACAAGTCAGAACTGGACCAGTGCATGGCTGTCGCAGATGTTGTCGTCTGTAATGAAGCAGAAGCTCGCGCCTGGGCCGTAGCTGAAGGCGTGCAGACCGGCGACGTACTCATCATCGCACGCGCTCTTGCTTCGTTTCGGAAGACGAACACAGCACGGCCAAGAACTGCAATCATAACACAAGGCGCGCGCTCGACGGTTGTGTATTCGTCTGACTGGGATGAACCAAAGGTAGGCCATAGACTCTGCAACGACTTGCGCTCAGTCTGACGAGCACGATCATAGGTCTACCCCGTGCATCCAGTCGAGGAGAGCCAGATCGTCGACACAAACGGGGCAGGCGATGCGTTTTTAGGCGGCTTCTTAGCCGCGTACGTACTCGGAAAGCATATAGACATCTGCATAGACGTGGCGCATAAGATGGGCGCCATGACGGTCCAGATGGTACGTGCATGAACCCTCCCTGTCACATTGACCTCGCCTGATGATAACGCCTTTCAGGTCGGTCCACAGTACAAGTGGCCCAAAGTATCGATTCTCTCGGAGTGAAGGTCTTGGTTAGAAGTATAGGCTTGTTGTCAATCATTTACTATCCTGCTCGATCTGCTCGATGAGGCCTCTCTGAACTGTGAACAGCTTTGGTTCCCGGGCCGGACCGGCAAATGCCGTGATCTGACGTTTGCGTGCCGACTGCACCCTTCGCGACTTGCTTGTGTCCGCCATGTTCCTTCGTTAAAGCATGATCATTTGGGCGCGCTCACAATCAACTCCTCAAAGCTTCATATATATCTCAGCTATTGATATAGCTGATTCTGCTTTCCGAGAGCTTGAGTCTTCCCACCTCCAGGTTCAGCTTCGCCAGAGAGCACAACCCCGGTCACGCTCTTGAGCCATGACGGGCTACGGATCACCGACAGCCATGTTCTGGGATGCAGATGAAGACGTCGAAAACATCAACCGGTACACCGACGGCGGCTACTGTCCCGTCATCCTCGGTGATACATTCCAGTCGAACACGGCAACCTATCGCGTTCTGCACAAACTCGGACACGGCGCTTTCGCGACGGTCTGGTTCGCTGAGGTACTGCACTCCGATTCCGGACCCATCTCTTCGTGAGTGCCCTTGTACTCCTATGTTGACTACGAGAGGAGTGGGGTTGATGGTGATGTGATAGACGATACGTCGCGCTGAAGGTATGCGTCGCGGATGCCGATTCTGAGCACGAGCTCGCTGTCCATAAGAGACTCGCTCAGGACCTCGATTTTGCGGAAGATAATTATGTCATCCAGATCCTCGATCACTTCTCAAAGTCCAGTCCCAACGGCACGCACGCTGTCTTCGTCCACGAAGTCCTAGGATCTCTCGCCGATCTACCACCAGACATGGCGCGGAAGCAAGCGCAGAGCATATGCAAACAACTCGTGCAGAGCGTCGCATCCTTGCACCGGCACGGGATCATTCACGGAGGTTGGCACACAGCCTTTGTCTGTATCGCCCGCTGAACTAAACGCTCTGCCACTATATAGACATTCACTCAGGAAACGTCGGCGCCCGCCTGCACGCTCTGGACGATCACTCCGCGCAGGACATCATGGACTACTTCGGACGACCAGAAGTAACACCTGTCGTACCCCGTCAACTACATGCTGACGCCGATGGATCGTTCCCGGCGTACCTCGTACCACGCATTTCTGTGTCGAGTTATATGAAGGACGAGAGCGCTACATTCGTGGAGACTCCGCTTCGTGTGGAACTGATGGATCTCGGTGGAGGTACGCGGTCTACCCCATTGGTGCATCACCATCGGGACTTACTTAGCCGACCACTGAAGCTACAATTGCCGGAGAAGCGTCACGCCCTTCATGTACGCCCGCAGCCGTATGCGCGCCCGAGCTCATGTTCGCGAAGATCACGACGGGAACAGACCCTCCCGCGACATTCGCAAGCGACATCTGGTCGCTCGGATGTACCGTAAGCTCCATATCCACGTCTGAACATCAACGCACAGCCTTATGATTGATTGTGCGCAGTTATACGAGGTCGCGTTAAACGCTGCGGCGCTCCTTCACTGGGCGTCTCACAGCATCGCCACCTTAAGCCAGATTGCACAATGGGGCGGCGAAGTCCCAGTAGAATGGCGCGCACATCCAACACTAGACGAGCATCTGAAGAACCTCAAAGATCGTAAGCCATCCATTCCATTTCCGAGTCACGACTCAGTCGCAGAGGGACCTGATCTTCATACGTAGCGATATCGCCAGAAGCCGCCCAGCTCAAATGGAAAACCCGGCTCGAAGCATGGACGAAAGACTGGGAAGAAGACGACGTCGCGGGACTCAGCGGATTACTGAGGATGATGCTAAAGATGGACCCGGGCGCGCGGCCGAGCGCTGAGGAGGTCTTGCGCCATCCGTGGCTCGTCGCGGCGCAGGACGATGGGGTCGCGGGTAGATAGCTTAATCTCTATGGTGTATAATGGAATACACGCCGCGTGGGATGTCACAGTCTGTGCGTCCTCATCTGGCCAGGGGTTTACGCGAAACGTCGCTCGCGGCCTTGGCGGGCATTCTCACGTGATCGCGTTTCGGCCGATATTCAGCACGTCACTTCCTGCGGGGTTGCGCGCAGGGTCTCGCTAGCAAGAGCGAGTCCGCTTTCATACACTGAACCTTTGCTAAGACTAATCAAAGGCGCATTGCACGGCTTCATCGACCGACAAGAAAGTTGCCGGGTACGGACAGATCCTCGCCCAGGAAACGCCGAGAAATAATCCCTTTGATTCGAACAAAGAGCTTTCAGCGCGCAGCCCCGCTCTTCCTCGCCTCGAAAAAGCGATTGATGTCTTCCTCTCCGACCGCTTTACCCTGCTCCGCAAACGGCCTCAAATAGCTCATGAGTTCGTCCCTACAAACCCGAACCGCCCGCGTCAGCGCTACTCGCTCAGAGCATAAATCCAAGCAAGAACGCACCGCATATCATTGAACGCGCGTATTCCATCAATGACCTTCTCCCTCGGCAACCTATTCAAAGCTTGCATACCCAGCTGATCGAGGCTCAGCCCGGAATCGGGATCCTCGGGCGGCTCGTACGTCTCTTCCTCCAACAACAACCACTTCTCCTTGTCCAATTCTGGCTTGCAGTTCGAGCATTGGCACCACCGCGCGCGCCATTCGCCGGCGAGGAAGATGTCACCGGCACCGAGGGAGGTGTTGGGAGGGAAGGCGTCGAGTTGCGCTAGCAGGTGTTGGGCGGTCGCGGAGGGGGAGGGCGCTAAGCATGGCGAAGCGCTCGAGTGGGTACCCTTAGGCGCCGTCACGGGCGCGGCGTTGGTGTCTTCTGTACGCGCGCGCTTCGTGCTCGCCTCACCATTGCCGTTCTCAGAGCTCGATAACGCGCGTTTCCGGCCTGCTAAGGACTCCGTGGAACCAACATCCACAAGCACCTCCGTCGACGTCGCGGGCTCAGGGCGTCCGTGTACGCGCCACGGCGCTTCAGCGCTATCTCGTATGATCATCAGAGTATTTGGTGTTCCAGCGTATCGTCGAAGTATTGGTCGTGAGCGGACACAGGAGGAGCATATCAGGGCGTCGTAGTCGTCTGCGGTTATTAGACCTGGCGGGAGATCGCCGTCTTCCGAGTCTTCGACTTCATTATTGCCGTTCGTGGTCGTAGTCGGGGCATTTCCGTTCTACCAGAGCCAATCATAAATGAAGGAACCCATTAAGTGAGATATATGTACTGACGGTTGGAGGTTCAGGTTGGGGCTTTGGTGTTGGAGGCCGGGATGAAGGTCGTTCGCGCAAGTTCAGACAAGACTCGTGGAACCAGTCCTAGCATTGAATCAATAAGTATGCGAATAAGGACAGAAGCAGGAGGCCAATTGTACCTCGCAAGCCAGACATTGTATCATAGTCTCCTTCTCCTCCTCCGCATTATATTCCCTTCCACATCTACAAAACAACCCCCTGAAATTCTGCCCATACACATTCCCCTCGTTGACCTCCTCCGGTGTCTTGTGTAGCGTACACGCGTGACTCAAAGCGTGCGTCGGACAATCGCATCTGAACGCGCGTTTTGGAAATAATTCGAGCTGTTCGTGGTCCGTATGGCACGCGACGGAGCAGGCGGTGCAGACGCCGCGCGGGACCGCGCAGGTTTTGCAGAGGTAGACTGCTTGGCGGATGTGGCCGTGAGAGTATGTGCAGGACTCGAAGGTGTGCGGGAGGGCTAGGGCTGCTTCTTGGAGTAGAGCGTCTTGTTCGGCGACGTAGTCGACGAGACTGGACATGGTGGATGGGAAGACGCGTTGGGCGCGTCGACGCGTCTTGGGTTCCTACTTTCACCATCACCCACGCCGAAAAGGAATCGTATATGGCAATGTCTATGATAGCTATACAAACCGTCAGAGTGCTTGAATGCGCTTTTCAGCGGTTGTAACTCGGGTAGCCCAGCCTATACGCGAAATAGACGGTAAGGGGTGTAGTGCGTATACGAAATCTCGGAGGATACTGTGCCATGGGCGTACATGACACACAGTCGGGTTTTCATTCCCCGACATTTATCCTGTGAAATACTGACATTTCCCCGCAGATACTGTATGCACACTTTACAGGCATCCGAGCTAAGCCGCAAGCGCGTAAGCCCCCATCTCACGGAGTGTGTCGTCCACGCGAATGTAATCAATTCCGTTCTAGGCGCCGCTTCCGAATCTCGCCTCCCGTTTCCAGCGTGTTCCCTCATGCTCTGCGTGCAAGGACCGTGAAGCTCGTGCTCCCGGTGCTCTAATATACTATATGTGTCGACGAATGTGCGTAAGAGCGTAATCTCTTCCTGAGAGATGGCTCGCTGAAGCCACGCATAACTCAGGAAAGTGAATGGGATGCAATTCATAAGCTTTTCTATCCGAGATCAGTAGCGACTTTGATGTGCTGTGCGCCTGTGTACACTGCCATATCATTCCTACACACCATGCACCTGCATTTGTGCAGGGCCCAGCGCGTTCTATCTCGCAAATCATGGTCCGTCAAGCCATGCTTCATTCGCGAGGAACGAGACATGGCGGCGCTCGAGCCGGAGATATAAGATGCCCGTGGCTGTGTACGTCCATCGAGCTGGCACTCATGATGCATGGCCGTCAGCCGTAAAGCCTAACTGAGCGCTGTGCGTTGGTACTTATCGATCGTTCATTTCAGATACGACAGGCTATTCCACTGAAATGAAGTATACACTGGATGGCGATGCGGAACCATAGCACCGGCCTTTTTGCTTAGCGCTAAGCTTATTTCTCTCCCTCTGCACAGGTTTCCTCGCAAGTAGTTTGCCACCTTATTTAAGATCAGAGAGACATCGGTCTTTCTGCGCCTTCCACACTCGATCACCGACTCTCTCCCTCAACCCATTAGCCATCGACGAAGGTGCGTGCTACGCAGCCTGAGTATCTTTCCCCCGCATACTCATGACACGTTGTATGATGCGATAGAGATATCGCCATGGGCGCCTGGCTGAATCTACTACGTCGCAAACTGCGATGGGGCAATCTCCGTCGTGCTCTTACTCGACTCCGAATCGGCCGCGATCCAGCCGTTCTTGGTCCTATCCTACTTCAACGGTATCTGGACTCTGGTTTTGAAGATGACACTCTTCTTGAGGATGCCACCCAAGCTCTGAGGCGGGCGGCTATATCATCGGAGTTCAAGGACGTTCGATTTATTGCGTTGCTTAGCGCGTGCTTAAGGCTGCGCTACGAACGCTCAAAGGTGACCGAGGACCTTGAAGAGGGCATAGCTTTGCTTCGCCGCCTCCTGGAAATGGTTGCACTAGACCCCCGGCATGACCAATCGTCATTACTCAGTAATCTCGGATACGCTCTTGAGAATCGTTTCAGACTCACAGACAACGTCGAGGATCTTGACGAAGCAATCGCAGTCAAACGTCGCGCGATCGAGCTCACTTCTGATGAGAACCATCTCAAACCCAGTCGGTTGATCAATCTTGGCGCTTTGTTACAATCTCGTCATGAACGTAATGGCGAGCCCGGCAATTCTGAGGCAGTTATAGCAATGGGACTCCGCGCCGTCGAGCTCATGCCCGATGTAGATCGCGACAAGCCGGTTCACCTGGACAATCTTGGTGATGCTCTCGAGACTCGGTACGAGAGAACCAGAAATAGGGAAGATCTAGACGCTGCAGTCGCTATGAAACGCCGCGCGGTCGAACTGACGCCTGACGGGCACGATGATCAGCCGGCTCACTTATGTGATCTCAGTCTCGTTCTGCAAAGGCGCTTCCAGCATGCCGGCGAGCTCGATGATCTTCACGAAGCGGTTAAGGCAGCTCGCCTCTGCGTGGATTGTACACCTGATGGGGACCCAGCTCAACCGCTGCGCTTATGCGATCTCAGCAACGTTTTACAGTCGCGCTTTCAGCATGCTGGCGAGCTCAACGACCTTCATGAGGCGGTTGCAACAGCGCGCCTTTCCGTAGAGCTCACCTACGATGGACACTCCACTAGGACGATAGCTCTAAGTGTACTCGGAGAGGCTTTAGAAAGACGCTACGAGCGATTAGGTGAACTCGAGGACTTCGAAGAAGCCATATCAGTCAAACGCCGCATTGTTGAGCTCTTGCCTGATGAAGATGACGAAAAGCCAGTTTATCTCAATAACTTATCCAGCACTATCCTCACTCGTTTTAGAAAAACGGGGGATCCCAGAGACCTTGATGTCGCAATGGAGTTGGCTCATCGTGCGATAGAGCTTACAAATGATGGAGACTCCGATAAGCCGGATCGGCTATGCAATCTAGGTGACACACTGCAGGCTCGCTCCGCGTACACTGGCCGACGTGAGGATCTGGAAAGTGCCATCTCGATATACCGCCGAGCTATTGAGCTTGCATCTCGCAAAGACGCTCTCGAACACGTTCTCCTCACCCGACTTGGTAACGCTCTACACCAACTTTTTCGTAGTGCTGGCGAGCTTGTACATATTGAGCAGGCAATATCCACGATGCGCCTCGCCGATGAGCTCATACCAGAGGGGCATTTCCACAAATCATCGGTCTCGAACAATCTCTCAACTGCTCTGTTGACGCGCTTCGAGTGCGACGGCGAGCTTCGGTATCTTGAAGAATCCATTTCAAGGCAACGGCGCGTCGTCAGACTCATATCTACCGATAAAGACCCTCACCTGCCAACTCAATTGAGTACCCTCGGTAACGCTTTGATGAGACGGTTTCAGTTTCTCGGCGAGCTCGAGGATTTGAATGAGGCAATATCAACGTATCGACGCGCCATTGAGTTCAGTGTTGCTGAAGAGCACAGCGTCGACAGACCGGCCATGCTGTCCAATCTTGGAATGGTTTTGGAATTGCGCTTTGAACGAATTGGAACATTGTATGACCTTGAAGAAGCGATATCAACGACAAGGCATGCAGCTGAGCTCATCCCTGAAGAGCACCCGCATAAGCCGCATGTTCTGATCACTCTAGGTGATGCCCTGCAGCGGCGCTTTGAGCAGGAACCCACCTTCCCTAACTTTGTTGAAACTCATTCTTGCTTCGTGAATGCCGCTAATCTGTCAGCCAGTTGGCCGTCTTATCGTCTTCAATCCTCTCGACGCAGTGTTGATCTGTGCACTCAGTACCCTGACTTCGGGAGCGCCGAGTCACTCCTAGAAGCCCATTCGCATGTACTAGATGTTCTTCCTGAGATCGTATGGCTAGGCCATAGTCTCGATCGCCGCTACGAAGAGGCCGCCGCCCATGCCGAATACGTATACGAGGCGGTATCTGCGGCTATCCGATACGGCATGTTATCACGAGCCATCGTGTGGCTCGAATCGGGGAGATACATGGTTTGGACCCAGCTCTTGGCCTTGCGTACCCCGCTTGATGAGCTGAAGATTCATCATCCCGACATGTTCAAAGGCTTTCGCGACGTCCAACAGCGACTGAAAGAGTCGGCCCATATGCCCCGAAAAGAGGGCGCGCACATCGCGGGTGGCGAATCAAACGCAACGAATAGCCTCTCCGCTGTAGGCCCCGGAGAGTTGCATCGCAGCCTCGCAGCCAAGTACGACGGTCTATTATCAGAGATACGCAATTGCGAGGGCTTCGAAGACTTCCTAAGGCCCCAAACGTTCTCAGCCTTACTCAAATCTCTCGAGCACTTCAACGGGTACTTCGTGTATATTAACGTGCACAAATCGCGTTGCGATGCTTTGGTACTCGGGCCCCGTGGTCTCGGTGATGTGACCCTCGTTCCGCTTTCCGAGCTTTCTTTGGAAAGAGCCCAGCAACTTCAGTTGCTCTGGATCGAGCAATTGCGCATACGAGGGCGATCTCGTGACTCGGATCCAACGGACTCATCTACCCCATGGCTTCAACCGGCAGGTTCAGATATCGATGATATTCGCCACTCAGCTCGAGTGGATGACCATCTTGCGCTGGATAACCTTCTAGGACACTTGTGGACCTGGGTTGCGGACCCCGTATTGAGGGCTCTGGACTTAACGGGAACGGTAAGTGGAAGAGTGGTGCTAATGAGATGATTAGACTGACTCCCTTCTCAGGTCCGGAAAGACGTTCAACCTCATGTCACTTGGTGTCCGACCGGGGCGCTGACACGTGTGCCTCTTCATGCCGCTGGCTTGTACAGCGAACCTAGCGGGCCGCGGGTGTTCAACTATGTGGTTTCATCATATGCGCCGTCCATCGCGTCGCTCGCCCGTGCTTCAGCAGGCTTACAGAAGCAACAGTCCACCCCAACCTTACTCGTCGTGACGCAGCCTAATACGCCAGGCCAATCGCCTCTTCCGGGAACCGTGGCAGAGGGTCGTCAGCTCCAGCGAATGTTTGGCGAGGCGCGGTTGCAATGCAACGCGCTCAACCACAAACAAGCCACCCGCGAAGCTGTGCGCGCCGTCATGGCTCGCGACACATGGGCACATTTCTCATGCCATGGTTCCCAGCACCCACGCGACGCGACGAAGAGCGCGTTCCATCTCTACGACGGCCCATTGACGCTCTCTGATCTCATGCAGACTGTCGCGGATGATGCCGAGCTCGCATTCCTCTCCGCATGCCAGACGGCGACCGGAGATGCGAATAATCCAGAGGAAGCCGTGCACCTTGCCGCGGGCATGCTAGCCGTCGGCTTCAAGGGCGTAGTGGCGACGATGTGGTCCATAGGAGATGCCGACGCTCCAGTAGTTGTCGAAGCGTACTATAAGAAGCTGTTGGAGATGCGTAGTGCAGGTACGCTTGGGAAAGGGGAGACGGGCGCGGCGTATGCGTTACACGAGGCGGTGAAGGTCTTGCGGGATCGGGTGGGAGAGAGGGACTTCAGTAGATGGGCGCCATTCGTACATTTTGGAGTGTAGGAGTTGAGATTCAGGGGTATGTATAATGTATGGATCGTGTATTGTGCCGCGTGAGGTGCTGTCGTGGTTGCGCGTGAACCTGAGATCTCAGTACTCAGTACCCGCTCTTCGGACCGGCAGGCTACGGCGTGTTTGAAGCTGAGTCATGCGCAGCATATCCGACGCAGAAGGGCTCGTTCATAGACCGGTAGCTGCATGGGACAGGTGAAGGAGAACAAATGCATTCGACTTTATACATGGAAGTTCGAGACAAGCGACGCGCGCCGTTGGCCGTGCAGCGAGGTGCAGCCACCGTACGTCACTTGACCGTGACCACCACCATGCGCCACTGCTGAAAGACTTCTGGGTCTCTGGGTCTCACAGGACTCGAAGCTATTGAAGGAGGATCGTAATGTGCTTAAATGCTTAATGTTTACCATCGTGGCAGAGGAAGTCATCGCCCACAAGGGTGAACTTGCCTTTTCGCATGTAAAGCGCTCTCGACGCGTCGACCGCGACGTCGCCCCCGGCCCAGACCAGCCACCCACCGAAGAGCTTGCGCACACGCCACGCGTAAGTGTCCGCAACCTTGTAGAAGAGGAATGCCTTTCCGTCTACGAACTACGCGACCTTAAGAGCTTACTCTCGTGCCTTCTCGGGGTTACTTCAGGTGCGTCTGACCTATTCCTTGGTTGATGAAGGGTTGTTGACGACACACAGCACTTTCATTGCTACGGAAGGCGGGATTTGTCCATCGCGATGTGAGCGCCGGCAACAGTCTCTACTTCGAGGGCCGTGGAATTCTTTCCGACCTGGAGTATGCGAAAGAGTACGAGAAGATCTCGGCGAGTGGCCCCCAGACGGTACGGATATCTTCAACATCGAGTTGATATGAGAGCTCACGCGATAACAAGGGAACTCCGGGTTTCATGGCTGTCGAGTGTCAGGCGAAGGAGTATCTTTTCCACCCGTGGTTGCCGCTCGATTGCGGACCAGGCGCACACAGCAAGACCGATTCAGCATATCCATCATTCATTCCGAATCCCGTGCACGATCTGGAGTCGGTGGTCTGGCAACACCTGTGGTTTCTTCATCACCGTGTACCTCGCGACTTGGACAGCCAGAAGAACTCGCTCGCCTTGCTTACAGCTCTCGATGCCGTCTCCAGCAGTGGATCTCGATTATTCGTGCATGACATACATGCCAGTGCAACGCGCCAGAACTTCGTCACGACGCCGCCGACAAGTCAGAATCACCAGGCCCTGTTGAAGAATATCAACTTCATTCACGATCGGGAACTGTTTCACCCCTACCGCCTCCTCTACATGCTTTGCGAGGAGTACAGACGTATTGAGAGCTCAGAAACAGAGGTCGTCGGTAACATGCGAAGGTTTCCTCTCTCTGTCTTCCAGTCTAGTGGCATCTACGACTTGTTCAAAGACGTCTTTCAAAAGGCTCTGGATCTCATCGACAAAGATGGCAACGTCCTCGTCGAATCCTCAAACGCCGTACGGCACAGGCTTACACGAAGGGTGAATGACACCTCCGATTCCGCCGGTCAGCCCACCACGAGCGGTAGTCGGCTCACGAACAGCCGGACATCAACTACACCCGGAGGAAAGCCTCGCGCATCAGGCAAGAAGCGGTCGCTCGCGGACGCTCGGCTCGACAATGAGGAGCACGACGATGTCAAGAGGAAGAAGCGGTCAGATGAGATTGGAGACCAGGTCATCCATTGAGGCGAATGAGCGCAGGAAGGAGCGACATCAGGTAGCGAGGCGGGAGGAACGGTCGCGCATGTATCTTGTACTATAGGAAAGATGTAGTTGTAATATTGTGAATAGATACCGAGATTGGCACGAAGGAAGATGAGGAACGGGTTTTTGAACTGATATAAGGTGACCGCGAGCATCGCGAGGTGAAGAAGTAGAGAGTCCATCAATTCCGCATGGGTGCGCGAAGCAAGTGGCAGCGCCGGCGCTCGGCGCGGCGCGGGCGTGGACGGTGGAGGCTCTAATCCGCAACTTGACCGAGACCATCACCATACGCTACTGCGCCGTCTATATTCATATTGTTCCCTGGAAAGCAACATCTGCCACTGGCACGAGGGAATCTCTATCTAGGGATGTCCCCGTATCTCTGTAGTCCATGTAGGCGCGAGAAGGCAGCAGTACGGGCCTCTGATTGCGAGGGGATGGGCTAGCGGCTATACTACGCGGGCGATGGAAAGGGTGAGACCTTTGTGTATACGATGGGACAGTTTACTGATCATACCTAGAGTAAAGGTACTTGCGGGTTTCACCGTTTGCTTTGGCACTCGCATCCCTCCACCTCGCCGCCCCCAACAGCGATGGGACCGGCAGACCGCCTGTCGGCTGCATGCCCATCACTCCCTTCATATCTTTATATCTTCATGCCCGTCAACCTACAAGACCTTCCGGTTCGGCTGCCGCTCGAAAAGGCCTTGACGTTTGATGTCGGGCTACAGCTGTGCTCTATCGCCGAAGCGCACGTCCGCCAATCCTGCCGTAAACGTTTCAGCCGCCTGCGACCAGCACCAGCCAGACATTATACGTCGTAATATGTCTGCGCTGTCTCGTACGCTCGTGCAGCGCTTTACGGGACCCGCCCACTGCGCGCTACTTACATATAGCGCGCACCCCGGGCCTCTCGCGGGAAGCAGCTCGTCAGGGCTGCCCTGCCCGCGCCTCCCCCTCGCCCTCAGCCTCACTTCCTTCTGTTTCGCCCTCGGCCGGTCCGAACTTTTGCACGTTCATTTCACGACCTTTCTTTACGATCTGGGCTGGTCATGAGCGGCGACACGGTTCGCACGCTTCCCAACGGCTACGAATATGTGCTGGTCCACTTTTACTCTTCGGGCGAGGCGAAGGCCAATATCGTGCGTACTTGTTGTTCGGCTGACGAAGAGCGCGTTCTGACTTTCCTGATAGCTTCCAACTATTGTATCGTTCTTCGAACTAATTGCTACTGTCGGACTGCTCACTGCTATCGTGGTACGTGGTTGCTTACCACGCCCCGTATAGAATGGGTATACTAATAAGATCACTTGATAGCTATCTGCTGTTTTCACGCGTCATGCCAAGGACTCGAACTTGTTTGTTCGCACCAGTCTTGTATTCTACTTTGTATCTGCTCTCGTATGTGAAGCTCTGTCGGGTACGTCCGTCCAGTCTTGTATGAATGCGCATCGCGGTCGCTGATACGAGCTTGCAGCACTATCCGGTGTCATGACCGCAACATGGATCTCGGACATGCAGGTCTTCTCTGGTGGCCTATGTACTGCACAAGGTCAGTGTATCTATGCTTATACGATGCACCAGTGACTTACGATCTCCGCAGGCTTCTTCAAACACTTCTCAGACGTGGGCCTTGCAATCTGGACTGTCGTACGTTCATTCTCAAACTATCATCACTACGACTTCGCAATGCTTACAGTACAGCACAGGTTATCACAGTCCAAGCGTTCATTGTCCTCTGGCGTGCGCAGGAGTCATCTCAAGATGGATCCGCGAAAGAGTTCACATTCGCGCTCCTCGGGCGCACCTTGCCCGCCATCATGTTCTACAAGTGGTTCATCCTTTCGACTACGTGGTTCGCTATCGGCTTCATCGTCATGCTTGGACCTGCTATCGGGTCTGGTACCGACCACGGCGACTTCTGTACGTTGCCTTTGCTGCGGCTGGGGTTGTTATAGTCATCGGGTTGCACTAAGCTTCGACTAGATGGTGTATTCGGCGAGTCTTGCGGCATTACGGCGGGGTACCTGCCCGAGAGTGTCGTGTACGTATATCCTGTCACTCATTTCCCAGCATCCGTGCTGATCATGTATCCGCAGGTTCTCATCACTCGTTGTACGTCAACGGTTACCATACAATGGTTTCCAGCCCAGGCTCACGCATCGCTGCAGATCATCATCGCTTTCCTTACATCCATCGGACTGTTTGTCTGGATATGCTACGCCATCAAGCCGCGAAGCTTTAGGAACGAGTCCGAAGTGGGATTCCCGGAGAAGAGTAAGGATAAGGCAGGACGCCTTTCCGTCGAGGTTGCAAGGTATATGACCTGGTACCCGGTGAGTGCAGTAAGGAGCTCAGAGTGGGTGTTTGACGGCTGATCGTGTTTGTTTCAGTTGGTGTACTTCGTTTGTGTCTTGCCTGCCATCATTGAGACGATCATATACTGGTCCGGTACAGCCATTCCGGTTGGTTATTCGGTCTTCGTGTACGTGTGGTGTACTCTCCTTCTTGTGCTTTACTGAAAGCCGCATCCTCACAGCGATACAGTATACCATCTCATGGGTGAGCTATACTGGCACATCTCTAGTTAACCACATACTGACTATGTATACATCATACAGGGATCATCAACGCCTCCGTCTTCGTCTTCACCCCCCATCCCGGTCCACTCCTGCCCCACAAGCCCGAATCACTTCTACCACCCGAATCCCCACGCGATCTTAACGCGGAAGCAGAGAAAGTCAAAGCGCAGATCGTCGCTGCTGGCGTATCTCTCGACGGCAATCCAGACGACCCGCCCTCGCCACCAGAGCCTGTATTACCGCGCGAGCCGGAGCCCTTGATCCGTCGGCCTTCCCGTGGGCGCGAATTGCCGTTCCCGGTTGCAACTGCGGGCGTGGAACCGGTGCAGGTGTATGTGAGCTACGAGGTGGAGAGTACCGCCAGGGATGGGAAGGTCGAGTTGACGCCTATCTCGGAGAGGGCGGAGGATCCTGGGTCCGCTGCGCAGGGCGAAAAGGTCACCACTCTTCAGCGCGGAAAGAAGGATCGTTCGGAGGAAGAGCACACCGTCGCCGGCCCGAAACACGATGGAAATGTTGCAAGCGCGAAGGAAGTGGAGGCTTCGACTCCGGCGGACAAGAGCGAGACGAGGCAATCGGGCGTACCCTCCAGCGTCTACTCGCAGAACTCGCAAGCATCACCCACAGCCGCACACACTCCCACGTCCCCACTGCGCATCGTCATCCCCGCCCGCACATCTACACGCCCAGGACGCGATCAGCCCTTCCCCGTCGTCACGCTCCCAAGCAACCCGCGACCCAAAGGCGACGTAGAAGTGCGTGTCGAAGGAACAGAGAAGCAACCCGAAATCACCATCGTCGTCCAGCGCCAGCCGCCGCCCTATCCGACAAGTCACTCTCCTCCCTCACCGCAAACCGCACCCGCCGTCTTCGACCAATCCCTAGTCGCCGCCGTGCGCGATGCTCCGCCCTCGCCCTCGCCCTCCCCTCTCGCCGGCTCGAAATCACGCTTCGCGAAAGAGCAAGACCGCTGGCTCAAACGCGTCCGCACCGTCTCGCGCCGCACGATCCCGGTCCCATGGCTCCCGCAACGGCCCGACGGCGAGCCGCACTCCCCCGACTCGTTCATGGACGCAGAAGCGGCCGCCATCGAGCGCTCGCTGTCCCTATCTGAACACTCGAACTCGAACCCCGACTCGCCGAACCTGAACGCGAACGCGAAGAGGAGAGTCCGCTTCGCGAGCCAGAGCCAGGCGTCGTTCCCCTCGAACGAGTGGTACGTCGGCCTCTTACAAGCCGCCGGGCTCGGCGCGCGCGTGTCGCGGCAGAACAGCAGGACCGAGCTCAAAGCTCAGAGTCACGATGCCGTCGATGTGGTGCCGCACTCTGCTCCTATAGAACGCCGCGATGTTGCCGCGGCCTGGAAGCCGTACAGGGACGCGTTCAAAGCCGCCGGGACGGGTACGGCCGCTACTTCCGCCGCTACGAGCCCGCTGAGCCCCACCCAAGCTGAAGCCGACGCCGACGCCGAGTCCGAGGCGACGCTCTTATCCGCGAACGCGTCGCCGGAGGTCAAGAAGGGACTGAGCCTGGGAGAGGCGCTGCTGAAGCCGTCCATCATCGTCACGGACGTCGACGTCGACGTTGCCGCGGGCGAGGACGGGCCGGTGTCGGGCCTGGACGACGAAGTGCTGGTCGCGCAGAAAGCGCGCCGGCCGGCCGTGCCCGCGCACAGCGTGCTGCTCCAAACAGCCCGGCCACACACTCAGTCAGAAGCGGACCTCGACGCGGTGCTCAGCAAATGGGGCGCGAAGAAGCGCGACTCTGCTGTGCTGCCTACTGCGGCCGCGGATGAGAGGACTGATGCTGCTGTTGGTGGTGGGGCTGCTGCTGGGGAGTACGGGATGGAGTCGGTGTGGACCGTGCGGCCTGTTCCGGACGAGGAGGGCGTGTGGGAGTGCGAGGAGAGGATCGTGGACTTTTATATGAACTCCAGGTCGAGCCTGAGGGATACTTTGATTGCGGCTGCTGCGTAGTAAGATATACTGGTCTTGTTCTTAAGAGCCTCTTTTCGGTTGGTTTCTTTTGGTTGCATGTCAAGCTTGTGCGGATGTTGGTTGGGCAGCAGGCCGATATCGTGGGCGACTTCGTACGTACCTACTATATCTCACGACTGGTGTGGCGCGAGGAGCTGAACTAGCGGATAGTGCGTGCGCGCATATGATCCAGAAAGCAAATTATTCGTGTAAGCATGGTGCTCATCCTCATCTTTCTAAGGTACTAGGCCTTCTCGGGTACGCCTCCATACACCGCTGTCCTCAAGCTCGAGATGCTCATCTTGGCCCACAGGCTCATCGTTGCGCCCATCCTGAACACGGCAGCAACAGTACACAGTACAAGATAGCCGCTGCTCGCTCGTCTTCCTATCTATCTCCCAGCATACATGTTGCACCGGGCAGACTCGTACACGAATCAAGCATCGATCACTTGAAATATAACCCTCATCTGCGTCCATATCCCGCTCAAGCTCATCGACGGCTGGGACCGATTACTACGCAAGGGTTCGGAACAATCGTCGACAAGCGTGTTCGTTCCCCGCAGGCGGGCAGTAACTCAACGCTCAATCTTCAGAGCTCATGCACCTTGGTCTTCTACGGGTGCTATCCACAACCCCTCGAGACGAGAAGCTACCGTAGCGTGCGACAGGATCCCACCCATGGCTGGCTATATGAAAACCTGCGTGTCAGCCACGGCGAATTCTTCGAGCGACCGCCCGACCGCGTCCCTCTGTACCTACGCCCGACTCTACCAGATCCCCTCCAATCACCCACAGCAATCTCAACCGGCAATGAGCGGCGACAGCGAGAAAGGCTCCGTCCAAGCCCTCCCCATGCCGCGGCAGGCGTACGCTCCTCGACGTCAGATCGCGAACCCCGGCCCGCTCGGCCTCTACGCATTCGCCGCGACGACGCTCATCCTGTCGCTCTTCAACGTCGGCGCGGACCATATCGTCGTACCGAATGCGGTCGTCGGGATGGCGATCTTTTACGGGGGGCTTTGCCAGCTCCTGGCTGGGATGTGGGAGTTTGCGTGCGGGAATACGTTTGGAGCAACTGGTGAGGGAGTTTCGCATCGATCTTGGACCTTGGTTCGGAAGAGATGTGAGATATGAGGGTGGATGTGGGGCGAGCGTCATGGTCGAAGAGAAGCGCATTCTGCCGTCCATGCACCCTATACTCTCACTATCGTGAAAGTTCATAGTGCAGACCCCCACGGTCCACCTCAGATGTTCAACACCTGACCACACTGCCGCCCTTCTTTTGAAGCTCGCCCACTACCTGCTATCTTTAGTGCGATAACAGTACTGACGCATTTGCTCAACAGCGTTCACATCCTACGGCGCCTTCTGGCTCTCGTTCGCAGGGTTCTACGTCCCCGCCTCCGGTATCGGAGCAGCATACGCAGCAGCGCCGGACGGCGCGGCGCAGGAAGACGCCGCGATCGGGATCTTCCTCATGTCGTGGATGACCATATCTTTCCTCTTCTTGTACGTCCCCCCTCCCCATCCCTTCTCAATCCATGCTGCTAAGCCCTATCGATGCAGCATCGCATGCCTGCGCAAAAACCTCGCCTTCGCCGCGCTCTTCTTTACGCTCATACCCACCTTCACCTGTCTCGGCGCGTCCAAGCTGTCGGGCAACAGCGCGCTCAACACCGCGGGCGGCGCGTTCGGGATCGTCGCGGCGCTCATCGCGTTTTATATCGGAACGGCTGAGTTGATGGGGCCGGAGGATCTATTTATGTTGCCGCTTGGGCGGTTCAAGCCAAGGGGGCTTACTGTGTGAAGGAGAGAGAGAGATGAGGTGGATGTGTGTGTGTGTGTTATGTGTGAAGGCGATTTTGCGATGATGTGTTGTGATGTACGAATACTGTTCGATGTTCATCGGTCGATGTCAACCCATCCGTCAACCCGAGAGCGTGCAACTGCCGCTCTGCTCGTTCTCACAGGGCGAACAGGCATCAAGCACTCGTCGCTATTGTTGTGTGTAGCGGTTGCAGCAGCATACGTACGGAGCATTGGGCTGAGGGAGCCAACGCATCCGCGTCGAAGGCGTGAGAATTCGGACACGCGACGCGCAGTCAAGGATACATACCACAGGCGCGCCTGGTTGTCTTGAGCCACCATCATCCTGTGCAGCATCAACATCGTCCTCCCAAATGACACTTCACTGAAACTCGTTTCGTTTTGACAATGGACTCACACAGTAGACGATCGAATGCATGGTCGGCCGGACGGGCTTCCAGTGATGCCGCGAAGTCCGCGATCTACCCAAGCGTCATGCGACGAGCACTGCAGTGCCAATGAGCACCTTTCGATACCCATGCACGGACACGCTGCTACTGGTCTATCTTAGCAAGATTGATCAGTGCACGTGAACACCGATGATAGTTGTTTAACCGCTATTCAAAGGGTTAGATGCTCCACTCCGCGAACTCGATGGCGTCGCTATAATTGCTTACCGAAGAGAATGGTAGACCGCATACAGCAAGCCGCCTCTCGGAATGCCTGTTTAACGGTACGTAGACTACGCGTGAGTCTTTCCGCTTGGTGACAGTGTTTCAAGGCTATAAGACCCTCCTGTTCGACTGCAACTTCAAGAAGAGCCCATCGGGCTACTCTCAAGAAGTAAACATGGCTGTTGTCGATCCGACCTACCCCCTGCTTCCAATAGCATACATCCTGTCCGCCATAATGCTCTTCTTCGTGATGCTGACGAGCACTATCCGCAAATCGTGGAACCTCGGTGTCTGCTTCCTGTGCTTCTGGCTCTTCTTCGAGACGCTCACCGCCGCCATCAACGGCATAGTGTGGAGGGACAACGGAGACATCAAACTCTTGGTGTATTGTGATATAGGTATGTCTCAAGCATAGACTATATTGACCTGGATGCTGATGACAGTGCTTATGACAGTCACTCGTCTTCAGGAGATCTCATTCGTTGTGAAGCCCATGGCGACGCTGATCATCTCGCGTCGGCTTCATCTCATAGCCAATCTGCAGTCTATTGAGCTTCCCAGTCCAGCGGCGGTACGTCTTAGCTTCTGTGGCTCTGCAAATACTGAAGCTCATGTTGCTTCTGGCAGAGGCGTCGCGATCTGGCCATAGAATGGACCCTTGGTCTAATCGTGCCGTTGATAGTGGCGGGCCCTCTCTGTGAGTTGCATCTCACGCCGCGCTTCTTTCGATCTTGGACTGTTACGCATGACTGTGCGCTCTGCAGACTACATAAGCCAGGGTGCCCGCTTTCAAGTGCTGGAAGGATTCGGCTGCAGCAATATCGAGATTGGCTCCATCCTCGAGCTCGTGTCCATCCAGATATGGACAATCGTTCCGCCACTGATATCTGTCACCGTGTACTATCGTGCGTAACAACAGCTCAGACTACCAACGGATACTGTACTAACCGGTCACAGCGAGGGTCGCGCGAATCTTTTACAAGCAAAGCAAAGAATTCAACCGATTCCTACGGACCAACGGCTCCGTATCACGCACCAACTACCTCCGGATCCTCATTCTCGCCAGCATAGACATCCTGCTCACCCTTCCCTTCGGCCTCGCCATCTTCATCTTGGACATACAGTCGGACGTGGCGGGAGGAGACGTGCCGTTCTATCCGGGATGGAGCGCCGTGCATGGTGACTGGGCGCCCGTGAGCGTCCCGTATGCGGAGATCCAAGCGCGCGGGAAGACGGCGCTTACGTTTTCTTTCTGGACGTCTCCGGTCCTCTCTTTCGTCATCTTTGGCCTCTTCGGTGTTACGACTGAAGCTCGCGCATCATACCGGCGTGTCTTGTACACTGTTCTCGGGTGGTGCGGGTATAAGTCAGCTCGGCATGTGGGACCCAACTCGACGCTCGGCACGATAGAGTTCGGGCCGCGCCCGCAGGAAACATCGCTTGGAGGCTGCGATACAAGGCGCGTTCACCCTGCCCGCTTTTGCAATAGATGGGCCCGCTGACACTATGCGCAGCTTTCACTCTAGTATTGGTCTGAGCCATCAAGCCTCGTCGACCTTCAAGCTTCAAGCGCGAGGCGACGCTGGGGAATGCTGAGAACTTGAGCGACAGCACGATTCGTGATGTATCGGAGACCCGCACTGCTTCGGGCCAAGAAGACGGGTATGTTTCTTTCTTTTGACATCACTTGAAGTGCTCTACTGAACCCAGCGTGAAGGCAGGAAAAGGATATCGTCGTCAAACATCCGGAGGTCCATGCTAACATCGACGCCTAGGCGTCCATCAACCGGATCAATTTTAGGGTCACGGACGTGACTTGACGCGTCGACGTTCCTGCGCGCGCGCGTGTGTGTAGACGTGTCCTGAACCATCGTGTGATTGCACAATGCACAACTCAGAGCCGATTGATAAGATTGCACTAGAATTAGAGCAATCTGTCAGCTAGGCATCAGTCTGTCGACGTCTGGTTTGAGCGGGCAACATTGGGAGATGATCAATGCGTGCTGATCTGCTTGATGCGCGCGCGTCACGAGCGCGGTCCAAAGGTGGAACAGGGGTTGGCTGTACTCGCCTTGCGTGCGGTAAGTACACTAAGCTCTGACGCGCTCTCGTATAGAAAGGAAGCCTACTACGAAAGACTAAAGCGTGAGGTTAAGATATCTCTGAATGAGTCCACGGTCGCGATGCGACATGTCTGATTACACTGTAATGCACATGCCCACCGGCACGATGGGCAGAATAATATCCCAACGTATCCTTAGAGACCGCCAACTTCGACTCTATAATGCGCGCGCGCTTCATGGCACACTCTCAGGTGTCCGCGGAGGGCGAGGGAGCGACCCTCTTGTCCGAGTGATGCCCAAGCATGAGTGGTGAGAGTGAGAGTTCATCGATTGACGAGCAACGCCCCGTGCACTGTGGATCCCACAAATGCCCTGAGCTCCCTCGCGGAGCACTCTTGAGGAGGAGGTCGCTTCATTGGGGAGATTGTGAACATGGGCAGCACTGTGAATGTCTCGCATGAGCCGCTAGCCACGAAGACTCGAGCAAAAGTATGCACATGTCGCCCTTTCCATTCTCTTGGTCTGCCAGCAGTCCTTCGCCAACATCGCCTTGATTGTATCCACCTTGACATCCTTGCTACCAGATCGTGTGCGTGTCCGGCTCCTTCGAGGTTATTCCCGCAGAGAGATCGTACTGCGCTGGGGAGACGCCGACGGAGTTTGATGAGAGTCCAATTCGGAAGCTTGCTAGCCTTGCAGAGTTATGTTGATCTACGCGACGCGAGCACAAAGGGTAAACGCGTCGAATGAGCAAGCAGTAAATGCAGTCGACTATATCTATTCGTCATGCGCAGTCGAGTCAGTACAAGAAGATGTGGTCATATTCGGGTCTTAACACGCACGTTCACGCCGAGAGCTGCGAGGATTACGCGTCTGATGTTTGCTTCTCCGGTGAGCGTCGATGTCTCTGCAAAAGCAAGTCAGTCCTAGTGGAGGCGCACGGGATAATCCCGTACCAATTATCATCTTTTCTCAGCGCGTGTAGCAGAGGAAGCTCATCCGTCCGCACACCGCTTGCCAAAGTACCATGTACGTCAAGATATGCCTGCGACGGAGAGTGCCTCCGATGCGTGGGTTGAGGGATTTGGCAAAGCCCTGGACTTGACCATACTGGCGTAGGTGCGCCAGCCAATGTTTCATTGCTAGAATGTCGGCGGGAG